AGAAAGCAAGCCACCAGATCCAGGACTCGAACTGTGGTCAGCCATGTGAGTTCAGTGCCTTAACCATCACACTGCCTGTTGGCCCCTCCAGTGGTCTTCTCTCTTTTTTTTAAACTTAAAAATTTTTTTTAAGAGAGATTTTTGCTATGGGGTGTGTGCACTCACTGGAGAGACAGACAGAAAGAGAAAAATCACCCCAGGGGGATGGCTATGCCACAATCCCTTCTCTTTCACTCTCCTCTTGGGATTTTGGGGATGCATGGACACACTCCCAATGTGATTTTTCAAGTTGCCAGGTCTGGGACTCAAACCATGGTTACCCATTTGGGCATCCAACATCTTAACCACTATGCCACCTGCTGGTCTCTCTAATGTTCTGGCTTATGCTTAAATAGGCTTCAGTGCTCAGCTCAGGTGTTGCCTCCTCTGGGAAGTCATCTATGTTCTCATTTCCCATTGATGAACTGGTTAGGTGTTCATCTGCTCTCCTTCAGCTCCTGGGTCTTCCCCTTGTCACTCCTGGTATGCAGAGACCATGGTGCGTCATCTTTACACCCTCCACGCCTGGCACGTGGCAGGTGCCCAGTCTATGCTTGAGAAATGAGTAATTTTCCTTCCCATCAGAAAGCTTCTCAAAAGGGAGAGGCCTATTTTCAGAAAAGAAAAACTTAATTTCTGTTTCATTTTTTAAAGGCTAACATTTTAATTCTATTTCTAGCTTAGAAAGGTCACAGGGCACATCAAAAATAAAAAGTCATTCTGTGTAATCCGTAATCCTGGCCAAGTAAGACTGAATGTGAAGGAAAGAAGACACAGACCTGTGTTTTAGGATAAATTCTGACAGATTTTTTTTTTTTCCTTTTTTTAAACAGAGATTCAGATAGCTCTCCAGATACCACTAGGAGAGCCTGCCTGAGAATGAAACTAACCCATAGGAAAACACAATCAAGAGATAGACAGGTTCTGACCATATCACTTGAACACCTGGGCTTTTCAGTGACGTGAGCCAGCACATTCCCAGCATAGGTAGCTCGAGTAGGGTTTTTGTCACTTGAACTGGGAGTCCCACTCACCTACTCAGATGGCTGGGGCTAGGTGTCTGACTCAAGCAGATCTAATGCCAAAGCTCTTAAGATTTCGTTTCAGAGACAATGTGGGGATTTAGCCCGCATTTATGGTCTTTTGCAATACAGTGATGCTATTAGGGCTGGGGTAGCGGATTCCCTTTCCCAGACATGTAAGGGGTCAGGGAACACTCAGTGCAGATCGTTCTATCCCCTCTCTGTTGTTTTTATTTTCTGCTATAACACCATGTATATATATATTTAACATGCTAAAGAGTGTGTGTGTTTACCATAGGGAGAGAGAAAGCACCCCTGGGGGATGTCCCCATTGAGATCTCTTCTCCATTCTCCTCTTAGGATTTTGCACACACGCATGCACTTGGCGTATTTTTTAAGCCATTGGGTCCAAGACTTGACTGTGTAGTTGGCCATGAGGGGATTCAGCCACCTCAACCATCATGCCACCCTCTGGCTCAAATACCAGAATTTTTGACACACACAAGGTTTAGAAAGACACTTTCAGAAATGAGATCTAGTTTAGAGCAGAGGTTGGCAAGCTTTCCTGCAAAGGGACAGACAGGATGTATTTAGGCTTTGCGGGCCATACTGTCTTTGTAGCAATACTCAACACAGACGACATGTAAGTGCACGGGCATGACTGTGTTCTAATAAAACTTTATGGACAGGAGATTAAAATGTCCTATTGTTTTCACGTCATAAAATAGGATTCTTTTGACCTTTGTTCCTCAACCACTTAAAAAAGTGAAAATTGTTCTTAGCTTATAGGCTATGAAGTCACACACGCATGCACTTGGCGTATTTTTTAAGCCATTGGGTCCAAGACTTGACTGTGTAGTTGGCCATGAGGGGATTCAGCCACCTCAACCATCATGCCACCCTCTGGCTCAAATACCAGAATTTTTGACACACACAAGGTTTAGAAAGACACTTTCAGAAATGAGATCTAGTTTAGAGCAGAGGTTGGCAAGCTTTCCTGCAAAGGGACAGACAGGATGTATTTAGGCTTTGCGGGCCATACTGTCTTTGTAGCAATACTCAACACAGACGACATGTAAGTGCACGGGCATGACTGTGTTCTAATAAAACTTTATGGACAGGAGATTAAAATGTCCTATTGTTTTCACGTCATAAAATAGGATTCTTTTGACCTTTGTTCCTCAACCACTTAAAAAAGTGAAAATTGTTCTTAGCTTATAGGCTATGAAGTACAAGAGGAGAGGACACAGGCCAATCTGAAGCAATGTACACCAGCCCTGGTGTTTGTAGGCCTGAGTTCTACTTAAAGCTCTCTAGTTAACCACATGATCCAAAATGGGTCCCTTTGTCCACTCTGGCCAAGGAGGGAGGGCCGTACAGGGTGGTTTTTCAAGGCCCTGGGGTTCTCAAATTCCATGGTTCTGATTATTTCACTTGACACATATCTATCGAGCATGGATAACATACATTGTTTTAAGTGGTGGGGACACAGCACTGATAGTTTCTGCTTACATGAACTTAGCTTCTAGTGAAAAGGGATGAGATCCATTTATTTACAATGTGGGGTAGTTGTCAAGTACTGTTTAGGAAATGAAGAAGAGGAAAGGGCTGGAGGGTGAAAGGGCTCTAATTGTAAAAGGGTGGCTGGGTTCACCTTCTGATTATTGACATTTAAGCAGACATAAGTCCAGTGAGGGAGTGGCTCTATGACTTTCTGAGGAATGGAAAGGCCTTGAGGCTTCCTCCTGTACAAGGAGAAAAAGGCCAGAGTGGCTGGGGGGGGGACAGGAGGGGAACTGGAGGCTACAGGTCAGATGAATCGTCAGAGACAAGCCACTTACCACCTTACAGGGCTTTGATGTTCAAAGAGAATGATGTTCAAAAAGAATTTTAGGGCTGGCCCCATGATGCAGTGGTTGAACCTGTGGATAAAGAGCTGGATCCCACATAGCCAACTGTGTTTCAAATCCTGGCCCCAGCAGCTTGACAAACATGCAAGGGGTGTGTGTGTCCAAAACCCTGATGGGATGGAGTAGGAGGGAAAACTGGTATGACCAAACCCCCTGGGGAGTGCTGTCCTTCTTTCTGGCAAGCGTATTGTCTTCTGGCAATTAAAACTTTTTTTTAATTGCTTGGGCTGCTGTGTGAAAAAGGAACTATAAGGAGGCAGGAGGTAATTATGTAAATTCTGCAATAGTTTAGGCAAGAGATGATGGTGACTTGAACCAAAATGGCTACAGCAAGGATAAGAAGTGGTTGGATTTAAGACATATTTTGAAGTCGGAGTTGACAGGATTTGTTGAAGGACTGGATAAAAACAGGAGAGAAAAAGAGCAATCAAAGATAAATATGCTGGGATCACATTCTATTTAAGAATATACTGTTTACATACAGGACATGTTTAATTTTAAATTTGTAAGACAAGAATTAATTTTATTCCTTTATATAGTAGTGTAAAAAAATCAGATATTATTTACTGATTCAGAAATTAACTGCGCAGGGACCAGCAGATGGCGTAATGGTTATATTGCTGGACTCCCACGTAGTCGACCACAGTTTGAGAACCAGACCCGGCAGTTTAAAATACACACTGGGCGCATGTGTGTGCATGCCCAAAATCCCAAGAGGAGAATGGAGAAGAAGAGATTGCAGCATGTCATCCCCTCTGGGGGGCAATTTCTCACTTTCTTTCTCTCTCTCAGAGCTGCAGAATATATGGTTTCATGTAAGTTGTGCTATGAATTTTTCACATGCATTGGCAACTTTTCCTCATGATCCTCTTCCCATTACTGAACTATCAATGACAGAAAACCTACTAGTTACAGTTTGTATATACATATTGTTTTTTTTTTTCTTTTTTTTTTGAGAGGTTTTTGCTATAGGGTGTGTGTGCTTGCCAGAAAGACAGAGACAGAAAGCAAGAAATCACCACCCAGGGGGGATGGCCACGCGGCAATCCCTTCTCCATTCTGCTCTTGGGATCTTGGGCACACATGCACACATGCTCAGCATAAGTTTAAGCCACTGGGTCTGGGACTTGAACTGCGATCAACTATATGGGAGTCCAGCGACATAGCCATTACACCATCTGCTGGTCCCAGTTAGGGTTATTTTGAATTTGATAAAACAGGAGCTGAGATTGATAGTTCTCTCCTGAATTGCCTTCATTCTTGTATAAATCAAAATTATGAGACATAATTTTACCAATAGTAAACCAAAGAATATTTTAAAAATACAAATAACCTTAGAACAGTCAACCAAATTAACACCTGTACTTTATATAACACTTTCATCAGACTGCCTTTAGAATAATCATGAATACATATTTGTTCTTTGAAACCTTTTTTTCTTTTTGCTAGAGGACACATGCACTTGCCAGAGAGAGAGAGAGAGAGAGAGAAAGAGAGAGAGAGAGAGAGAGAGAGAGAGAGAGAGAGAGACGAGAACACTCACCCCATGGGGAACGGTCACTTCGCAAGTCCTTCTCTTCCATCTCTTCCTTTGGTCACTTGGGGCACACACACGCAAGTGCCCAACCTGTTTCTCAGTGGCTGGTCCAGGACTCAAACCATGCAGCTGGTCATGTGGGATCTGGCTGCCTTAACCACCAGACCAGAGTTGGCCTGAAATCTCTACTTTTGAAAGAGAGACTAGACATAGTATGATACTTGCAGGAACTTCCAATAGCAACTTCTCAAATAGTGACATCAGCAGTGAGAAGCCAATGAAAAGAAGTCTCTTTTCTCATCTCTAGCAGAGGTAGGTAGGCATAAAGGCTGAGGACACAGCCTCTGAGGTTGACTCTGGCTGGAGCCCCCTGCAGAGAAGGCACTGAGAAGCAGCACCCCACCTGGACATAGGGCCCAAGTCCCAAGTGGACACGCCCACCGGAGGGCAGCAGTCTTTATTCTGGTAAATGGACGAGAGAAGATACAGCCATCCAGACACTGTCTTGCATTTATTCACACAGAGAGATAAGAACTGGTACAAATAATAAACATTGCTTTAAATACAAATAAATAGCTCTGGTTTCTAAAGGAAACAACTCTATATAATTCTAAGTTAAGTATTTTCTAAGTTCCTATTAAAAATAGAAGACTATTTTGCATTAAGTAAGTTCTATTCCACCACAACCCTTGGAGGACTTCAGGATAAAATGGTGAATTCTATACTTCAAGAAGTCACCAGAAAAATGGGAGACAGTGCTCTCCCCTCTTAGAACTATCCCCTAAGTGGAAGGAGTTACTTGCATCATAGACACAGCTAATAAATACTTAAAATATGTGATACCTAAAAAGATAAACCTTGGGAAGAGTGACAGGAATTTATTTCTCGGAACCAGTTCTGTGAATTCTGAAATCTTGCAACGCCAAAGTTCTGATTCAAGAGTCTTCAATTCATTTGTACTCACAGAAGACTTCAGTTCCGATAATGAAAACTTCCTCTTGCTAGGAATGAGCGTGGTAAACTGTAATCAGCGAGAATGACACCTGGATGACATAGCGATTTACCTGGTAATGGAGCAGTGGTGCTGCCAACCGGGACAGTCTGTCAGAACTGGCAACTAAAGGACCACAGCTGTGCTGAGGAAAGACCCCCCACACTCACTGGCTTATTTCTCTCTGTTATATGTAGAATGTTCAAAGCGGTCAAAGCATCTAGGGAGAAGTATGTTCTATGAATGAAGAATCACTTTCAAGTCAAGTGGTGTTTTAAAACTACATAAAACATGAGGTCATTCCAATCTTGGTGCCAGAGGAGTGTCTGTTCCATGGAATTTCTGTGCCCACTGCATGTCCCCTCCTTATCCTGCACAAGATAATCATCCTTTTCTACTCAAACTCCTACACAAATATAGCAATGCTTAAGTTTTCAAAGACATTTTGCTTTTCTATTTAGATTGATTATGATACAATTCCAAATAGAACATTCTCATGCTATAAAAACAATCTCATGCAATAAGTGCAATTTTAAAAGTCCCATGTTAATAATAATATTTGGTACTACAGAAGGCAGGATTATTTAATTTTTAAAAACTGATCACTCTAGAATAAAAGTGGGATTTCCAAACAGAACTTCTGTTGTGGTATAAAATGCTAGGTTTGATTCTACAGTTTTGTTGATGCAAACAATTTTAAGATATACACTAAGATTTCCTAATTGGGATTTCTGAAACAGTAAGCATAATTTTTAAACAGATTACTACAACATTTGCTCAAAGAACCAGCTCCATTTTGTCAAGAATCTTATCTTTTTTAGTTCAGTTGGAGGGATCTTCATAGTAAATTCTACAGCAGTTCTGAACATGATTTAAAATCTGTCTCTCACGTCCCTCTCTGTCTCTTATTTTTTCTGTATGTTGTAAAGAGAGATGAGCACAGAAAAATGTTCAATTTTTTTTGATGGACAATAGTAAATTTAGTTTCCTGATTTAAATAAATAACACTTTGTATGTCTGCCTTTCTCTCTGGCACACTATATAACATTTTTTAGTTATAAATCCAAATGTACTAGCCGATTAAAGCATCATGGTGTTTAAATCACAACTTTGGATACAATCCTATTTATTCTGGATGATGCTCAATTCCACATATAGTTCAGGAAAGACATATCTATAAGAACATCCAAAAATGTTACGTTTCCAAACTAACATGTGATTGTGCTCTGTTGGATAGTACCATTCACATTTACAATGTACAAAGGCAGGAGATTTCAGGTGTGGAGACCAATTTGTTTTGCTGCTATAGTAATTCACAACCATCATCTTCGAGATTTCCAAGCTGTTCTAGAATACGGAGTAGTCCTTTTTTTATCTGGTGGCTTAAAGTAGGAATAAACAGGTGCTGCAGGATACTCGGCATCGGGATTTTCTGCCATCATTTTCAGCTTTGCTTCAATAGCTTTAATCTTTGCAGTGACGCTGGAAAAAGGATAGCAGAGCGTCAGAGAGAGCCTTGGTGCATTCAGAAAACACTGGTATATTTCATCTCTTTATGCCTCTTATGTATATCAGAGAAGCAATGAGACAGTGTTATGAACATTTAAACATTTCATATTAAAGAAAGGCAACAAAACCCCTAATGATCTCATTTTAAGAAAGATCAAGTCTGAACCATGTATTAAGTTTTTTTTTTTTTTGGAGAGGTTTTTGCTATAGGGTGCATGTGCTCCCAGAAAGACAGACAGAGAGATAGAAAGCAAAAAATTACCCCCCGGGGGGATGGCCACGCTGCAGTCCCTTCTCTTCCATTCTCCTCTTGGTATCTTGGGCATGCACGCACATGTGCCCGGTGTGTTTAAACCATCAGGTCTGGGACTTGAACCACAGTTGACTACATGGGAGTTCAGCAACACAGCCATTACGCTAACTGCTGGTCCCTATTAATTTTTTTTTTTGGGGGGGGTTTTCACTATAGGGCGCATGCGCTCGCCAGACAGACAGAGAGACATAGAGACAGAAAGCGAGAAATCACCCCCCAGGGGGGATGGTCACACCGCAATCCCTTCTCCTCCATTCTCCTCTTGGGATCCTGGGCACACACACGCGCGCGCCTGGTGTGAGTTTTAAGCCACTGGGTCCGGGACGCGAATCGTAGTCGACTACATGGGAGTCCAGAGACATAACCATTATGCTAACTGCTGGTCCCTGTTATTATTTTTTTTAAAATCTGACCAGAGACAGACAGGAAGAGAGAGAAAGGGAAAGTACGAAACCAAGCTGCCAGGTCTGGGACTCAAACTGTGGTCAGCCACATGGGAGTCCAGCACCTTAACTACCACACCACCTCTTGGCCCTTAAGTTTTAATATAAGCGCAGAATGTCACTGTTAGGAGTACTTCCCATATTGTGACATTTCATCTTTAGACATGGACACTGTTCAGCACCTTGCTGCTTGGCAGAGGGTAGGCACGCAAAAATGATCCTTGTAATTAGTATATCCATCAACTCAAACATTTATCTTTTCTTTTCTTTTTAAAAAAATGTCTTTGCTGGGACCAGCAGTTAGCATAATGGCTATGTTGCTGGACTCCCACGTAGTCAACTGCGGCTTGTGTCCTGGACCCGGTGGCTTAAAACTCACGCCGGGCACGTGTGCGTGCGTGTCCAAGATCCCGAGAGGAGAATGGAGGAGAAGGGGTTGTGGCGTGGCCATCCCCCCTGGGGAGTGATTTCTTGCTTTCTGTCTCTCTGTCTCTCTCTGTCTGGCGAGCACATGCGCTCTATAACAAAAACCTCTTAAAAAAAAAAAATGTTTTTGCTATCGGGCACATGTACTTGCCACAGTGAGAGAGGGAAACTGAAAGAACCTCCCTCCCCCAACACAGGTGATGGCAACCCTGCAATCCCTTCTCCTCCACCTGCCTCTCAGGATTGGGGCGCATACACAAGAGCCTAACATTTTTTAACTGTGGGATCTAGCTGCCTTAACTACTGTGCCACCAGCTGGCCCCCAAACGTTTATCATTTTCTCTCTCTCTTTTTTTAAAGGCAATGTTTACCATGTTGCGCATCAGCCTCCCCAAGTTGCTGGGATTACGGCCCATGCCACTGCACTTGACCTTTCAGGCTGGATCAGGAACTGAACCCAGTCCTAGTCTGTGGGACATTGTGTTTTAACAGGACATGCCACCATGGCTAGGCCTAATCACTTCTTGTGTTGGGAAAATTCAAAATTTTCTCTTCTAGCTAATTTGAAATAGATGATAAATTCCTGTTAACTATAATTACCTAATAGAAGGGTGCTTCCTTCCCTCCCTCATTTCTCTTTTCCTAGTGAGCACATGCACCCTCTGGCAATTAAGAAAAGCACATAGAGACCAGTAGTTAGCGTAATGGTTGTGTCACTGGACTCCCATGTAGTCGATTGTGGTTCAAGTCCCGACCTGGTGGCTTAAACTCACGCCAGGTGCATGTGTGTGCGTGCCCAAGATCCCGAGAGGAGAATGGAGGAGAAGGGACTGTGGCGTGGTCATCCCCCCTGGGGGGTGATTTCTTGCTTTCTTTCTTTCTGTCTCTCTCTGTCTCTCTGGCAAGCACATGGGCCCTATAGTAAAAACCTCTCCAAAAAAAGAAAAAAGAAAAACACATAAAAAAGAAAAGGACATTATAAGGAAGGTTATATTCCTTATTTGGCAGATGAAGAAACTGAGGCATAGGAAGTTAACATGCCCAGCGTCATGCAGCTAGTAAGTGACAGGGCTGAGATCTGATGCAACGGATTCTGAAGTCCATGCTACTAACCATTACACTGTACCACTTTTTATTTTTAAAATTTATTTACTTATTCATTTATTTTAATTGAACTGAGAGAGACACAGAGAGAAAGAGAGAGAGAGAGAGAGAGAGAGAGGGAAAGTGAAAAAGCAATCCACCAGGTCCAGGATTCAAATCGTGGTTGGCCATGTGTGAGAGTCCAGTACCTTAACTACCACGCCACCTGCTGGTTCCCTGTACCGGCTTTTTAATCACTGAGTAGAATGGAAATCCCATAGTCTCTCTTAACTCTCAAATGTGTGTTAATAAAGGCTACCATGGCCTATATAATGAGCTAGGCACATGGCAGCAGTCTACTTCCATCATTTCTAATCCTTACAATGACCCTGCAAGGGCTAACAGCCACCTTATAGATGAAGAAACAACTGAAGGTATGTATCCCAGGTCCATGAGCTAACACTGCAGAGCCAGGATTTGGGCCTTGTTTGTTTATCACCAAGGTCCACCAGGTTGGAAGTAAAAGAGTCCTGCAATACACAGAAAGTAGTGAGCAGATGGCATAAAGTGTGAGGAAGTCACTTCTGACTGAGGTCACTGCCACCTCCAGATCAGAATGCAAAGTGCTTACATTGGCAGTGGGTATTTTTTAGTCCACAGATCCCTTTCCTTCCCTTTTTCTTATTTTTTTGCCATAGGGTGCTTGTGCTCAGTAGAGAGACAGAGAGAAAGAAAGAGACACAGAGAGACAGAGAGAGAGAAAGCACCCCCGATGGGGAATGGTCACACCATAATCCTTTCTCTTCCAGTTCTCCCTCCTTCTGGGATTTTGGGCATGCATGCACATGTGCCCAGCATGTCTTCCAAGCTGTCCTGCACTCAAAATCCTATGGCTGGCCATGTGGGATTCAGGTGCCTTAACCACACCACTGGTTGGCCCTACTTTCCATTCTTGATGCTGTCAGTGGTCTACAGTCAGTGAGAGAAACTCAGAGACTGAGAGAGAGCACGAGCGTGCGCGATCACGGCATTTTAGAGAGTCTCAAAAGGTATACATCTGCTTTACATATCATACATTTACACGGGCAAAACGAAAACTTAAGTTACAATAAAAAGCTAAGGTATTACTGAGCTGCACTCTGGCACCTGTCCCATGAGAGGGAGAGCCAGCCACTTATTCTGTATAAGGCATCTGCCAAACCACCTTTGATTAGGCATATGTGGGGACTTCAGAAAGTTTGTGAAAAATGGAATTAGAGTACAAGTTTATATGATGCAAAAAATGCCAAATTCAGGCATGGTTTGCTCATAATATATACTTTTGGTGGACTTTCTGAAGACCCCTTATAGATATTAACAGAAAGATGTACGCTATGATTCTCTAAATTACAAATGTAAAACACTTGACTGTCTGGTAAACTAGTGGCAAACACTGACCATAATAAACAAAAGACATGTCCACTGTAACATGAAGACCTCCAAGCATAAAGGAAGCATCGGTTCCCACTATGAGATTTTATAAAAACCTCTACAGATAGGAATCTGTAATCAAGGAAGTTCAACTCTTATGGGGAAAATAGCACAATGTATATAAACCCCTAAATCTATAGAAATCATAATTAAATTTTTTTTCCAAGAACACAAAACAATAAGGACAGAATGAAATTCAGAAATATATTATTAAACTTAAGTGAATAACTATAAAGACATCACTTTTCAGACTTTCTGTTGATTTCTATTCCTTGTGTATCACTGATGCTCCTTCATTTATCTTTTTCCCCTTCCCCCAGAATAGGCTTTAACTGTATTTCTACATTTATAGTCTGGTGCTTCTTTGAAGTAGTAACAATTGAAATTTTGTATATAGAAAGCAGGCTGGGAAGAAACTGTGCATAATGACTAATGCTAAAGAGATTTAAGGCTTTGTTAAGATGGTTTTGGGACCAGAAGGTGGCGTAGTCGTTATGTCACTGGACTCCCACATAGTCAACTGCGGTTCGAGTCCTGGACCCAGAGGTTTAAAACTCACGCTGGGTCTGTGTGTGTGTGTGTGTGTGTGTGTGTGTGTGTGTACGCGCCCGTTTCCCAAGATTCCAAGAGAATGGAAGAAAAGGGACTGTGGCATGGCCTTACCTCCTTGGGGGTGATTTCTTACTTTCTATCACTCTGTTTGTCTCTCTGGAAAGCACATGAACCCTACGGCAAAAATTTCTCTTAAAAAATATGTATACTGGTCTTTGGAATAAAGACTGTGTCTATTTGTTCAATTCCTAATAACTCCTACTAAAACCTAGAGTAGAATGGAAGAGTTTGAGAGTGGTAATATAAAATGATGCCTTCTATAATTTTATTTTATTTTTTAAAAATATTTTATTTACTTTTATTTATTTATTTTAATTTGACTAAAGCCGCCACGTCCGGGACTCCAACTGCAGTTGGCCATGTAGGAGTCCAATGCCCTTAACCACCATGCTACCTGCCAGCCCCCTGGTGAGAGTTTTATGCCACTGGGTCTAGGACTTGAACCACATTTGACTATGTGGGAGTCCAGTCATGTACACATTCAAGATGTTCACTATGTTATGAATTAAGGTGAGAAATGAAGAAATGGCTCTAAGCTCTTAAGTAACTGTGTTCTTCTACAGTATACTATCTTACCTTAGGTTAGACTGAGTAGGCTCCGTGCTTGAGGATGGCTCAAGACTGATGGGAAGAATCTTATCATTCTTGTTATGGTCATATCTCTGAAAGTATGAGAAAAGGAGAATTATTTCACTTGGGCAGAAACCAGCACTTTACTATGGTGCATGGGTTCAGAAACTCTAATTCTTTTTTTTTTTTTTAAGACCTATTCTATTCACTCATTCTACTTGTTAACATCATTATTTTTTTAATTATATATGCTCACAAGAGAGAGAGAGAGAGAGAGAAAGCCACCAGGTTTGGACTCAAACTGCAGTCATGTGGGAGTCCAGTGCCTTAACCACCATGTCACCTGCTGGCCTGCAGAAATTCTAATTCTACCAGGATATCATCAGCACATTTCTAGACAATTACTTTACATTTAGAGTTAATGCAAAACTCACATAACTTTGGCCTAAAAGCTGTAAGTTTAGAAAAAGAGGTTGAGAAGAAGCATCCATCTAGCCATTAGTCCTACTTATTTGATAGGGAAAGGATTTCAACTTCCAAATTTGCAGAAATTTGGTACACACATGGCAGGGTTACCCTCTCACATTCTTATTTTAACTCATGTATCTCCTCCTGTAATATTTAGTTTTACTCAAAACATTTGAAAATTCTGCTAGATTCTGCAAAATACCAAGCGTAATTTCAATTCTTAACAAGCCTGAGTAGAGAAGGAAAGTAGTAATAGCTTTTGGTTGCTGATATAGAAAACATTCTACGGTAAAGGAGTAGTTTCATCTGATGTCAGATAATTCTTGTAAAAAGCAAATATAATATTAAAGAGCAATCACGAGCCTCTGGTCAAAAAAGATTTATAGGAGAAGAGAGCCGCGAGGCACAAGACATTTTCAAATGAAAGACTGGAATGAAGGATGATTTCTCTTGCATGCCTTTTCAATGAGATGCAGAATGAGAAAATGACAGCCAGTTTGGCAAATGAGACTTGATTTCCTTTTGAGTAAAAAAGCATTTGGTAATTCTCCTTGTTGTTTCTATTTTTACACAATGTGTCCTAGCAATTGAGAAGGCTCTGTAATTACCTGAAATACTCATAAGGATTGAAAGCGCCTGAGCTTTGTTTTCCAGCCTGAACACTGAACCAGACTGTGTTCAGTTTCTCTCTTTACCGGGAAGCTTCTTGGGTAGAGGGCAGAACATCTCTGATCAAAACCATCCTCAGGTAGCTAAAGACTGAAGCTCCAACTCTGTCACAAATCTTTTCGAGGTTTCTGCCATAAGGCATTGGCATTCACGGGAGACAGAGACAGTGAGAGGGAAAATGTGAAATCACCTCTCAGGGGGCATGACCATGCTGCAATCCCTTCTCTATTCTCCTCCTGGGATTCGGGGCATGTACTCACACATGCCCCCTGTGCCAGATATGGGATTCAAACCATGGTTGGCCATGTGGGAGTCCAGCGCCTTAACCACTAGACCACCTGCTGGCCCATGTCATAAATCTTTTCACAGGCAGGTTTATGAAGACCACACTAAAGGAGGTGAATCAATTCTTGGGGGCTGCTCTAGTCTACACACTTCCCCATCTCTGTGCCAGCTGGAACAGAATGTCTTTTTTTTTTTTTTTTAAATGGTTACATCTTTTCTAGTGCATCCTCCTGAGAGACTAACCACAGGATGAACAAGGCAGTTGGCTACTTCTCAAGACTTCAGAGGCAATACAGGCACTGCAAGTCCCACAAAAACACACACTCGAATCCGTCTCCAAATCTGTGGCATAAAGGGATGCCAGTGCTTTAAGCACTCATATGAACTGCCCATTTTTAAAGCATTTAAAATAAATAAATTCAAACTTTCCATGGAGTTGAGAGAGTGGGAAGAGTCTAATAATGCCCACAGCAACTGATTTTAAAAATAAATACATTTTTCCCTCCAAAGAACAATCCACACCAAAAAAAAGATAGAGGTCTAAGTGTATGCATCAGCCACATGGAAAAATGAATCAAAACCAGGACCTGTGGGCATGTGGAAAGAAACAGCAAAGGAACTTAATCCCTCCTGAGATGCTTCTCAAAAGAAAAATCTGGTAACACACATGGTAAATACAAGTAGGAGACCAAAGTATGGCTGCTCCAGATGTGCAGGGGCTGGGATGCACACGGATTAAGAGGACATTGTCTCTAGAAGACTTGTTCAGCATGCGGCTTGGGCTGTCTTTCCAGCCTCTCAGACATACCTTCACTTGAGCGTGTGCCCATCGCACCACCAGCTTCTTGGATAGAGCCAGTTTGCCATTGAGACACTGAATGGCCTGCTCTGCTTCCTGTCCAGGAAAGGTACAGATGTTAGTCAGAAATTCATATGCTTAACTAGCTATACGTACTCTCACAGGGCCTCACTGGCTTTCAGGCCTGAGCTTCTAAACAAACTGCTTTTGGTAAATATTTGGCAAAGGGTTTACAATTTGAAAAGGATATGAGTTATTAAACTTCAGTCAGACAAAAATTCAAACCTTGTCTCTGTCCCTGTTGGCAGGATGATGTTTGGCGGGCTGCTCGAGGTCTCTAGCCTGGAGATATCGACACTCCCGCTTGTCCTCACCCTAGCAGTGGTCGTGAGGATTTGAAGAGAGCATGAAACACACCGGGCAGACGGTGAGCACCTCGCGAGTGTTGACTATAGCACTGCTCTCAGTAGGCACGACCCTTCTGCACTCTCGTTGGTGTGGACAGGACATACTATGTCAAGAATTGTGGGCAGGCCCCAAGGCAAAGCACAGATGTGCTGCTCAAGAGTAGCCAGATCTCACATGGCGATCGTAGTTCAAATTCCTGGCCAAGTCAGCCTGAAACATGCCACGCCTGCACGGCAGTGTACAAGATCTGAGACAGGAAGGCTGACCAGACTCTGTAAAGGGTGCTCCCCTCTCTTTCTCTCCCTCACATGGGCATCTGCATGCACTATCATGAATAAAGAAGAAAATTTAACAGAAATTGTATTCCCTTCAGGGACCCTCGAACTGTATCCTAGACTAGGGTTTATTCCCTGGATCCAAAGTGAGAAACGGTAATGGCTTCAAAGGATATGGGAGTGAAGGAAACTAGGCCGGAAAAAGGAGTGAGTCAAAGAGACTGTGAGCAAGGTGTTGGTGTGAGTCAGTCTATGCACCTGGTTTCCAGAGCCGAAAGTCCCCTGACCCTTTCCCCATCAGATTACAGGAGCGACAAGGTTGAAAGGAATTCCTGAAGTTGGATCACAGTAACTCCAGGTCATTCCCAGGAAACCTGGCTGTACCTTCCCATCCTGCCAAATCTTCTCCACCCCGTTTGTATCCACAAGGCACTTGGCCAAGTGTAACCCACGTTTCGTAGGGGTGAAGAAGCTTGCAAGATCCAGAAGAGGGTAAGAAGTATAGAGGGCAAGAAGTGCCTGCCACAGGCTGGGGCTTCAGTCTGGTTGTGCCAGTGGTTCTTTTGTTCTTCTAGCACTCACTAGCAGGATGCTGAACCAATGCTGAGTATCAGCTCCGTGTCAGGCACTGGATAGTCACTAGCCATCTCTGCCCTATTACAGCACACAAAGTTAATCACCGTCAAGGGACATTTCAGTCTTCACCTAATTCATGATGATGCCAGTAGAGGCTAAATGTTTTTTTTTTTTTTTTCTTTTTTCTTTGAGAGATTTTTTGCTATAGGGTGCATGTACTTGCTGGTGAGGTGGAGACAGGAAGTGAGAAATCACCTCCTGGGAGATGGTCACACTGTAATCCATTCTCTTCTCAGGATTTTGGGCATGAATGCGCACACACACACTTAAAGTGAGTTTTAAGCCGCCAGGGCTGGGAATTGAACTGTGGTTGACTACGTGGGAGACCAGGGATATAACCATTACACCATCTCTTGGTCCTGAGGTTAAGTGCTTTACAAAAGTAACTTATTTCTGTATGTTGCTTCAAAATTGTGTATTCAACAGTATTTTCTTTATGTTTATTTCTTCCACACAAGAGACAGAGGGGAATGCACACGCACACTCACACATGTACCTCCTAATGGTGTAGTCACACCCAATCTACCCCTAGTCTCAGTTGACCCTGATCATGGACAGGTACATATGTGCCTAGCATGATTGGGAAGATCCCAGGACTTGAGCTCAGGACTTTCCCCATGTGGGTTCAATTGTGTCACCACTGTTCCATCGCCTGGCCCTTGGTGACATGATTAAGTGCCAACCATGTTTTCATATGTGCCCTCATCTGTTCCCCCAGGGAACACATATACCTAGAAGGTACAAGGCCATGTGTTTTTATTACTCATTTTTAGATGAAAATTGAAGCCAAAAGAGGTTAAGAGACTTCCTCAAAGTTACAAATAAAAGAGACAGAAATATAAGCTAGGCTTTGTGACTTACAGTTCAATTCTTCTTTAGAAGTTTTTGCCTTTGGGGTGCATGTGCTCGACAGACACAGTAAGAGGGAAAGTGAGAAATCACTCCCCAGGATGGCCATGCCACAACCCCTTCTTCTCCATTCTCCTTTTGGGATCTTGGGTATGCACGCCCACATGCATGCCTGGTAAGGGGTCCAGCACTCAAATCTCAATCGGCCATGTGGGAGTCCACCGATATAAGTGCTATGCCATATGCTGGTCCCATAGTTCAATGTTTTTAAACCAATATCTATTCCAAACATGACTATTGATTTTAGTTGTCTTCAAAAATCCTTATCATATCCTATATCATTAAAGAAGAATAAAGTATCTAAAAACACTAACTGTTGTGGGTTGCATGTGTCCCCTGAAAATTCATGTATTGAATCACTGTAATGGAATTAAGCAGGTGAAAAATGGACCTGTGTTTAAAATGGGGTGTTTTTTTTTTTTTTTTGAGAAGTTTTTTGCCATAGGGTGCATGCACTCGCCAGAAAGACAGAGAGACAGAAAGCGAGAAATCACTCCCCAGGGGGGATGGTGATGCCACAGTCCCTTCTCCTCCATTCTCCTCTTGGGATCTTGGGCAAGCATGCACATGCACCTGATGTGAGTGCATGCCCTGGGTCTGGGACTTGAACTGTGGTTGACTACGTGGGAGTCCAGCGACATAGCTATTATGCCAACTGCTGGTCCCTGAAAATGGGACATTTTGCAGGAGATCAGGATTCAGATCATCGGGGTAGGGCCTCCATGACTGGACCCTGGTGTGTTTGTATGACATGAGAGACACACAGAACCAGACCATGCTCTTCTGCATGCTGCCATGTTGTGATGCAGTCCCATCAGAGGTGGCCCCTGGACCTTCAAACCTGGAGGTGAATAAACCTCTGTTTTTATACAGCACTGTTTCAGGTACTTCCTGTTATTATTAACAAAACAAACGAAAACACTAACCATATAGGGTATTCTTTCACTTTCCTCATAAAAACGTGAACAATTACAATAACAGAATAATATGTTGCGTATCATATTTGTAAGAATTAGAGTACAAGCCAGGATAAATGACGCTCTCACACAGTCTTGGAACATACTGACACAAGCCATTTCTTGAAGGCAATTTTTCAGCTGGATTAAGAGAAAACAGGTGTGGCCTTTGGGGATGCCATTCCACTTCCATGAATGTAGTAAATATACACAGAGTTGGAGCTAAAGATATTCACTACTGTGATGTTTATACTAGTGAGTCATTGGGGACACCCCAAAAGGCTAATAGTTTGGGTTCGATCACATAAGTTATCACATATTCATATAATGAAATATTATGCAGCCATAAAAGTGATGGTCATAGTTTTTAACTGCAGTCTAAGTCACTTATAATAAAATATACCAATTTTAGGTATGGACCAATGTTTTGTATCTACACACACAAACATCTATACCTGTGAAGTCACAGTATCATGATACAGAATGCTATCTTGATGTGTATGGGGTGACATAAAAATTTGAATATGCTTCAAGTGATAAATATGATAGCATGACCCTATTTGTACATTATAAACTGTATATATGTTTATGTGTACATGTGAATGTGAAGAAAAAAAAAAAAGAGACTGGAAAGAAAGTATGACTAAATACTATCCATGATTATTGATTATTTCTGGGTTAAATGACTTAGACTTTCTTTTTTGGTTATCTGTTTTCATGTATAATAAGTGCATTTTACTTTAATAGAAAGAAAAACATCCACACAAATTATTAGCAAAACAATAATTAGGCAATGTTCTCACATATGATGAACAAAGTTATAGAAAGAACTAAGCACAATAGCTGTATTTAGTAACATTCAAATTTGATTTATCAATGCATTTTCACTCTGAGGTCTAAATTTCAATACAAAAGGATACTTGTATGTATCATGGGTGAAGCTGAAAATTCTCTTCCAAAAAGAAAAAATTCTCTTTTTCTCCATATATTAAGATTTGTATGCATTTGTTCTAAGACCCTGAGAAGAAGGGCATATTTTTTGGATATCAAAATAAAAGAGAGTTTGTGGGTGGCTCACCACAGATGGGGTTTCTGTACCATGGGATAAAACTACTAAAAGAAAAAGAGGCTTTGTTGGCCAGCCACTAAAAGAACAAACACAGAACCGAGGGTGATGCCCCTGTGCTCAATGTGGACACCCCAAAGCATGGGACAGAAAAGTAGGTCAGCTGCCTTAGACCTCCAGCCTAGGGAGGGGAGATGTGGAAAGATGTCCACTGATTTGTATCCTGAGGAAGATGATGCTTTCTTTCAGAACTCAGCGCAAGGCGTACAGAAATGAACCTGTCATGGTCCCTGCCTGCTAGGACCGACTATTCTAGCAGTCAAGAGAGACACACAGATTATGATATACTTTGATGAATTCTATGAAAAGGGAAGGAAGCGCCGTTACCTGCTTAGTTTCAAAGTTAACAAAACAGTACCCTCGAGGCTGTCCCTCCAAAGCACCTGACTTGTGGAAGAGGAAGTCAAACTGCTTGACTTTGCCAAACTTCTGGAGGAGCTTGAGGAGATGGTATCTGTGGAGAAAGAAGAGCTTGTGAGTAGCTCTGGGAATTGTGCTGGCCACTAGGCCTGAAGTGCAAGATAAAAGCAGGAGACAATTTACCAGGGCTAAAGTCTCTTGCCCCCACCCCCTGCCTCCTTCCAAACTGCCGTGTGAGTTTTCTTGGCAAACATAGTTGTTTGCCTCTATTTGGAATGGGGACTAGAATTGTCATGCTTATGCGTCTGCCCAACACAAAAATACCAAACAAAAAAACCCGACACCTAACAAACAGCTGTCTGGCCCACAAGCACCATTTGTTTTTCTTTTGGAGAAAAGCTCAAAAATAGTGTAGATTTATTTATTTTTAATTTCTTGGCAATGAAACAGTATTTGGGAAAAACTATAACACATCCCCATACTCCAAAAGTCAAAGCCTACCCTACCTCAAAGTAAAGAAAGTAACAAACACACTCACACCCACACAAACAGAAAAACAGTCCTGGAAGACTTCTTTATTAGATTTGTAGTTTTAATCATTAGACCCAAACTGAATGTGTGAGAAACTATGCCGAAAACCAAACCACGGCTAGTAGCTCTTTCGTAAGTGCCTGAGAGTTTTAATTTTTTTTTTTTTTGAGAGGTTTTTGCTATAGGGTGCGTGCGCTTGCCAGACAGACAGACAGAGACAGAGAGACAGAAAGAGAGAAATCACCCCCCAGGGGGGATGGCCACGCCGCAATCCCTTCTCCTCCATTCTCCTCTTGGATCCTGGGCATGCACGCACACGTGCCCAGCATGAGTTTAAGCCACCGGGTCCGAGACTCGGTCCGAGACTCCGTAGTAGATGCAGTCGACTACGTGGGAGTCCAGCGACATAGCCATTACGCTAACTGCTGGTCCCAAGAGTTTCCATTCTTGATATGACTGAACATTTGGACAATGTGGAATCACAAGGTGACTGAGCTTGGTCTCACCCAGGGCAGGGTAACCTGGCCAGCCCTCTGTCACCCAGCCATGGGCAATTAACTAGCCTTAGTCACCTTAACAGTTTATACTCTAGGGTATAGTCAAGTAAAGAATGCAGGCAATCAAGGAAGACATTTGTTCCTGGCAGAATGATCACTCTAAGCTATTGCTTGCAACTCTGCTCTTCATCCTCGTCTTGATTCTTTACTCTAAAACTTATTTGGTTTCTATAGCACTTTTAAGTTATTCAAACAGATGTGGCCTTAACGGGTTGCCGTGGCCAATCTCAATTCCGACTTCCTGTCATCTGATGTAAGGGTGAGACAAACCAACAGCTCTCCCGTTTCCTTTTCCTTTGGCCTTCCTCCTGGCATCCTCCACACTATTCAAATGGAGTCAAGGCTTTCTCTAAACAATGCTGTCCCTGTGATACTAAAAAGGTATCAGCCCACATGCTAAATCTGTTATTACTGGGAATTCTACCCCACAGGGAGCCAGTCAAGTTGTCGTTATAGGCACATTTATATTCACATTGTTTTATAGGAGAAACTCATCAAGATTTTATTCTTGAGCAAGAATTTCCTTTGGGAAGCAGAAAGATATGAAATGGATCATACGCTGTGCTAAATTTGATACTAATGCACAAGCGAGCCCAGCATCCTGGATCAGGTGTCCGACACAGTGGAAGAAGGAAGACAGAATACAGGTCTTGTACCGCAGCAGGATGCGAGGATCCCAAGGCATTGTGGATATTAACCTGGTCTTTGGGCTTATTTTGAAGATGAAAACAACTGTGATTGTCTGCTTTTTAAATTCTCAACTCCCACAGGAGATTTTGACTGCTAGTGAGACTATAGGAGGTGACTCTTCAGAGTAAAAAGAGACGCCTCAAGTGCAAATTTCTGGTTTTAATTGACTTTTTGAACAGACTTATAACAAAAGGGTGAGTATCTCCCATACACAGATGGACTAGAGGAGTCTTCTCCAGGGTCTTTAAATTACAGCTGCACCTTCCACTTATGATATCCATTCAAACTTCAACTCCATGCCAGTTGCCACAGAATGTTGGGTCACATAGTTTTTTAAAAAAGAAAACAATCTGAGGACTACTGTGGGTTGGTCATCTTTTTATTAGCTCCATTTTGCTTAATAGCAGGAAGGTAACACGATTGGCATTTCCTAGGAAATGAATTTTAATTTACTCAGAAAAAAACAAAAAACCCACATTGACAGATAATTCTTTATAAAGCTAACAAACGCATTCTGCCCGAGAAGTGTGACCTTAAGATTCCAGGAACATCTGCTTCAGTCCGTGTCTTTCAACTTCTCCATGATTTCTTTTCTTGTTTGATAATTCCTTGAAATTATCGGAACACCGAAACAAAAGGAATGAAATGTTTACTATTTTGCTTCCTGGAGATGGGGACTGCAAGCTCTGATAGCAAAAAAAAGCCTGAAGGATCTTGCTTTCACATCTGCAAGCACTTTTATCTGCTGCTGAAGTATGGGAGAGCTCACTACTCATCAGAGGCTCGCTTCACTTAATGAACTGTGCGCCCTGCAGCCTTCAGGAGCTAGAGAATGAGGGAACCAGTCCACTGCAACTCAATCAGTTTTCTATGATGGATCTTTAAAGCAGCCTTCCTTCCTAATGGCACGCAAGTAATTACTCCATACAAATGTTAAAATAGACACCTAGTACAAGAGTACTTGAGAAAGTTCATAGGAAAATGGAATTAAAGTACAAGTTTACTTTGGTGCACAAAATTTTAAAATCTATGCATAGTTTTAAAATAATACACACTTTCCATGGACTTTGTGAAGTCCATGCACAAGTGTCAAGAAACATTCAGATGCTCGGACTACGCAGCTGAATAAATCTAGGTCTCTGCCAAGGACCTCACATTCTGGCTAGAGAGATTTACAACTGCACAATTACCAAACAGTGATACTTGTCCAGAGAGGTGGGGATATGAGGACACAGATGAAGGCGGACCAACTGTGTAGGAAAAGCGGTTAGGAAGGCTTTGTGAAAGGGGTGATATCTAGGGCCGGCAGGTGGCGTGGTGGTTAAGGGCGCTGGACTCCCACATGATCAACTGTGGTTTGAGTCCCAGACCTGGCAGCTTGCTTTCTCACTTCCCCTATTCTCTCTGTCCCTCTCTGGTCAAATTTAAATAAATAAATAAATAAAGTTCAATGAAACAATAACAAAAAATTTTTTTACAAGGGGGTGATACTCATCAGAGGCTCGCTTCACTTAATGAACTGTGCGCCCTGCAGCCTTCAGGAGCTAGAGAATGAGGGAACCAGTCCACTGCAACTCAATCAGTTTTCTATGATGGATCTTTAAAGCAGCCTTCCTTCCTAATGGCACGCAAGTAATTACTCCATACAAATGTTAAAATAGACACCTAGTACAAGAGTACTTGAGAAAGTTCATAGGAAAATGGAATTAAAGTACAAGTTTACTTTGGTGCACAAAATTTTAAAATCTATGCATAGTTTTAAAATAATACACACTTTCCATGGACTTTGTGAAGTCCATGCACAAGTGTCAAGAAACATTCAGATGCTCGGACTACGCAGCTGAATAAATCTAGGTCTCTGCCAAGGACCTCACATTCTGGCTAGAGAGATTTACAACTGCACAATTACCAAACAGTGATACTTGTCCAGAGAGGTGGGGATATGAGGACACAGATGAAGGCGGACCAACTGTGTAGGAAAAGCGGTTAGGAAGGCTTTGTGAAAGGGGTGATATCTAGGGCCGGCAGGTGGCGTGGTGGTTAAGGGCGCTGGACTCCCACATGATCAACTGTGGTTTGAGTCCCAGACCTGGCAGCTTGCTTTCTCACTTCCCCTATTCTCTCTGTCCCTCTCTGGTCAAATTTAAATAAATAAATAAATAAAGTTCAATGAAACAATAACAAAAAATTTTTTTACAAGGGGGTGATATCTGAATGAAGTGGATCAGAGGAGTGTGTCGCTCTGAATGAGTATCATGTGCAAAGAAGGTGAGAGAGTCTGATCCACTGAAAGAGAGTGGAGGCAGGCAATAAGAGATGAGGCTGAAAGGAAGGCAGGGAATAGGCTGTATAAGATGCTGCATGTTTGGATTTTTTAAAAGAAATCTTCAAGGAGTATGTGTGCTGGGGAGAGAAAGAGAGACAGAGAGAGGGAGGGAGGGAGGGGCTTTCTCCTCTAGCTCTCCATCCTGATGAGATTTTGGGCATCCACACACATTTGTTTAATGTGTTTTGCATGCTACTGGCATTTATTTTTTATTATTTTATTTTATACATTCAATCACTGTATATCATTACAGGTTGTAAAATGAATTTACCCAACATGAATACACTGTACACCAGTCCAGATAAAGATATGATACACATTATCACCGACAGACAACCCTCCATTTCTGAGTCCCTAAAATGTCTTGCTCTGTTCTCCTCCTTGATTCCTTTCATCTCATTCTCCATCTCTCACCTTCTTCCCACACCATCTCCAGTATCCATAACCACTTTCCATGCTTCTATATCCTCTAATCTTTCAGTAATAGAGTGCAGAGAGTCAGTATATACTAAGTGGAGACATACAATGTCTCACTTTCATAGCCTGGCTTGCTTCGTCAGGAGGAAATCTTCCATGCCATTGGCCTTTAAATAGTGGTTGGCCATGTGGGATCAGTTCTCTCAACTGCTAGGCAATGAAGCTGGTCTGGGAATTTTAATGGAATGATGTAAGCAATCACATGGTAATAAAACGACATTTAAGATTGTGTTTAGTATACAATTTATCTTAAAGGAAACTTTTAAAATAAGCATGCAGAAATTATGAGATGAGTATGTTCTATGCTATGTACATTTATCATGTTTCAAATTTAGGTAAAAAAATGATAAAGGCTGTTTTATGCAAACTAAGACATGAAAAGAAGTATGGACAATGAAGGAAAAATAAGAAACAGAGAGAGAACAGGGGCTCCTTTAGAAGTAAACACACTGTTCTCACATGCCCATGCTGCCTTCCCCTCTGCTCTAGCTCATCTCTGAAAGTCTGTAACTG